GAATTGAATCGAAACGAAGTGAGTCCTAGAAAACGAAGTGGGAACGAAGTGAATCGACGAGGCCCCGCGAACTGTCGGACAAATAGTGCTCAACATATCAGTTCCCAAAAGGAGATTGGTCCAGGACCTCAAGATGGCGAGGAGAAGCTTCGGAAAAGCTCGCCAAATTCTCCTACTCGTATCATCCGCCATTGAGCATTTGAAGGGCTTCCATGAGCTTTGGGGAGAGCCGGCAAGTCTCCTTGCTAGATGAAGATACCCGTTCACATGGAAGCCTGTGCGGGGAGGACATCCACGCAACACGGAATAGGAGGGGACACAAGTGTTCCTGTCGCTGGAAAGAGATTACAGATTCAGAATTAAATACTGGTACCGGCCTCAGAATAGCGATCAGAAACTTACCTTCCAATGCCGAGTGAGATCAGACTTACGTTCCGACACGGGAGCGACCCCGTCATCCTCGTAACGCTTCAATTCTTGGTCGAAGGCTCGCTGATCCTCGAGGAGCTCACGAGCTACCTGTTCAGATGTCGGTATATGCGGTGGATGATCTGAAGAATGAGCACCAGACTGGCTTGATGATGAATGCGATTGGGAGGGAGTTGTTAACATGGATGTCGAGCGCCGCATAGCAACATTGATATCAGAAAGTTTTGCGAACACGAGCCCTTGCGAGCGGGCAGCAACAGAGGGGCCGGGCATGAAGCGATGGAGAGGTGCGCGGCCGGGCAGTGTGGTGTTTTGCCGCCGAATCGGTTGTTATGTGTAAGTCAAAGCAGCATGCCTAGGCCTCACCTCTTCAAATATTCCTTAATCCCGAGTACTTTTCTGATAGTGTGCTAAACAACGAAGCTGGCGCTCGCGGCTCAAGCGCTCAACAGCCGAGGTTGCAGAACGAAAACTGAGGATTTCAGCCATGAGATCCCTTCTTCTAATGCGGTTCTTGCGACTTTGCCAGAAAAACAAATCCAGGTAGAGAGCGGGACCGTTCATGGCTGTGGTCCAGATATCGTTGCATGGCCACTTGTTGAAACAATCTTGAGCTTGAATTCTTGTTCAACTGTCGCGTTGTTTGGTTAGGCTTTTTCTCGAGGCTTATGCCTTTTCGAGTCCATCGATCTCGTATTTTCACCCGTCAACCCACGCATCATACTTCGGTCATCGCAGCATCCGCATTCTTGCACAACTGATATGGGACTATCGATAACACTGTGACCATCTCATGTTCCGTAGTGTCGATGCATTAATTGGTCAATAGCTTTTTCGACCATCCGTAGCCCCGCCGTGGATGTGGTGCGGATTCACATCGTTACTTACCCTTTGCTTACGCTTGATACCCTCGAATCAGGTCAACGCCCCCACCTGAACATCCGTGATGGGATCTATCCGCGTTTGTTACGTGGGCGCGTCCCGTCTATGACGGTCTCTCCATCAGAAGTTATGACGACCGGCATGAACAACAGGCACACAAACCACCTTTTCCGAGCGGATGCTTTGCTATGCGTTGCCTATGTGCTGGCGTGCAATGGTTGCTGTTTTTCTTTTTCTGGCGCATTAAGTTGCGCTTCAGCAGCTATACACGTTCTATGTACAAGTGCACCGCCAATCGGGGGCCGATCACAGAAGTTTCGATTCTGTGTCACTGTATGATCATACAAAATCCGTCCCAAATGGATCTCACATCAGGCCGACATCACGAAAGTCCGTGTGATCACAGCAAAGCGTCGACCTGCGAAACTTCCGATTGCTCGCCTTTGGGCGCCTTCCCAAGAATTAGTCTGGTGCCATGAATGGCTATGGTATAATTGTTGAAAGAAATGCGGCTAACCTGTCTAAGGAACATGCAGTCTGTCTGCGAATTCTGCTCATTTCCGATATCGCACCCGGCGCTTCATCCGGATTTCTTCAACTGCGGGACATACCGTATTGCATCAGGTGCCCAAATATCGCCTGTCACTGACCGTGCGACTCCAGATCTTTATAACTGTCCTGACCCTGATACACTCAGCCTGATAATCCCTTCGCTGCTGTTCCGAAGACGACGCGATGCAATTCTGGTATTCCATTCCTACTGATTATAGAGTTGAGATTGTTCCCGATAAAGTCTCATCGTGGAGCAACCATGGTCCATGAGGCTCAATCCCATCACCCGTGCCATTAGGTCCTCTTACTCCCAACCCCCATGTCGAGCAATGAGGATATACTCATAGAAGTCGGTCAAGACTTCGTCCTGAAAGTCGCTCGCGTCGTGCCTGGTGCGATATGTTATGGTATGTGGCTTGATTGACTTTCGAAAGCTGTCGAGCTAACGGAGCTAAAGGCGTGTATCTCATCCTGATGAACTTCCTCATTGGAATTTTCTAGTACGTGGACTTATCACAGCAGCATCCAGTATTATCTAACGTGTGATAGTCGGCATGGGCTTCTGAGAGCACAGGCGTCTAACCTATTCCTATTGCTCGTGACGGTGCTCATGTTCTTGGGAGGGACAATATTCCTGTGCCTGGATGTCTCCGACCTCGTCCGGCGTATGCAGATTGTCTTGATCAACAATCCGGAACAGTCACTTCAACAGAAACTCGACGAAGCGAATGAAGCACTGAAGAAACTTGTTTGGACTGGCGAGATGCTTTTCATTTTCATGGTACTTAAGAACTTGCATGTACCCTGTTTTTGATAGACGTACTGACCATCGACGCCCAGTTGATCCTTGGCGATTCCGTGGTTGTTTGGAGGACATGGGCAATATACCAAGATTCTCGCAGGTGGCTCATCATACCCATAGCGACTTGGCTTGGATCACTCAGTATGTTTCTTTCGTTACTGTAGGTCCTTATGAACTTAGCTCACGATGTATGATCTAGTCGCAGGCCTCTTCGAGTTAGGATGCGACCTACGCACGCATTGGGCAATCAACGACCTAACGCCGTCCGCAGCGTCCGTTGGCGCGCAAACTTGTGCCCATGCTGATCTATCGAGCTACACGTTGTCATACGTCACAAACATCTTCTGCACCCTCCTCATAGCGTACAAGACATGGTAAGCTTCCGTCTACGTGCCGTGGTCGGACAGTAAAATCATCGCCACTCTGTCAGGTTGCATCGAAGAATTATGTCCAAGTACCTTGGCGCTGCCCGCAGGACGACAGCGGTGGAGAAAGTCCTAATCCTCTTGATCGAATCCGGCTTTGTATATATAATACTCTACGTGAGCACCGTGTCATGAATACGAGCTCCTACGTAACACTTACACGCGTGTTCAGACGCTACAAGCTGTACCGATCTATGGGGCAAAACTATCGTCTTCGGGACTCGTTGCATTCAATGTGGTCAACGCAATCATCCAACAGGCAATGGTGAGCCGTTGTGCACAGTTCCATTTCCATTCATCCTTCTAAGTCATATGCCAGGGAATGTATCCAACAGCAATTGTGGTACTCGTAAGGATGCAGAAGTCCCTCTGGGACGCCACCGAGGTCACGGAAGGCGTCTATTCCACCAAAATGAGGTTTGGACAACCTAGTACGCGCGAGGACAGGAGTCATGATGCCACGGAAACTGTGGTATCCGACTACCCAAGCCATGCAAGTCATGGTCAGACGATCGCCTTGGTCGACCTCAACGCTTCTGGAGACCGACACTCCGAACACAAAGTAGAACCTGGGACGGCTGTGTAACGGGGATCTTCGTCTTTCTTTTTCTTGATTCAGTCACAACTTGGTATGGACGTGTATCTTCCTTCGACGGTACTCTGTATTGTACAACTTACTATAATGGAATTCGAAGGGTGTTTGTATTCTCTCCTAAAGGTTAACAGAGGTTAACTGAATCGCTAGCTTCCAGGTTGACAGAGTTCCTTAAATTCAGTATTTCTTGAACACAGGGCAATATGGCTGGTCATTTCATGGAGAGCGATTGAGGGCGTGATGCAAAGTTAACATATATCATATATTAGGCCAAACCGCTCTAGAAGTAATTAGGGTATAAGTAAGATTATCGAGGATAAACTATAACGACTTTTGCTCTATTCGCCGTGTATTGTGGTTAACCCGCTGTAAGGCGCAGGAGTGGAGGAGGTTAAGAGGAGACGCTGGATAGCCAGTCAACCCTTTACGCCGACAGGTTCGGCTCTTGAATGCCCGAATGATACCAAGCGGCGAAGAGTCCTCGAAAGACGGGAAGGGGTCTTCGGAGGGGGTTGTCTGCGAACGACGGGATTGTTCAACAGATATTCGAGCTCCTTTTGTGCCTCATTGAACATACCTAGGCGAATCAAGGAGACAATGAGCCGGCAGCGGTAGAAAAGGCAAAGAAGATCAGCTTACGAAGTTCGATGTAACAACCCATCTTCCGACGTCGCATCGTCCCAATGATATCTGGGTCAACAACAGATGGGTCAAGGTTCCCGTAGAAGTTTAAGATGTAAGTGTAGACATCTAGCGCTTTGTCCTGCCGCCCATAGCTGATATGCGCCTTAGCAATAGTGTGGAGCTCTAGAATCTGGCTTTCGGCGACTAACGGAATAAGTGTCAGCTATAGCAAAATTTAAGCCGATGGATTCCACTTACTGGTATCATGGCGGGATTTCATGATGATGGCAGTTATGGGGTGATGGTTGAGGAGAGTGAAGGTTTCCGACATAAGGAGCCTTTTTATTCCCTTTCAAAAGTAGGGGCGAATAGGGGTCATAAATTCGAAGAAGGCTGTGAACGAGACAGAAGCACTATATGTCAGCTATCAGCGATTTCAACTGCGTCTTACCTGTCGACCCACTCGTTCAAGTACAAGGGCCCCTAAAGGCCAATACACACTACGGTGGAACCCAAAGCGGCATGACTATTCGGCAATGATCTTGGAAAGAATTCTGAACCTTGACTCGGAGCGTAGAGCACTATGGCTGCTGGAGTTCAAAGTAAGTGAAGGTAACAATTGGAATCGAACCGTTCAGCGAGGCTTCGGGTGAATAATTGCCAAAAAGAATTCCCTGCGGAGGGTAGTTCATGACCGAGACAGGGGTCGAACCTGCAAATCTCCTGATCACGGTTATCGTAGTCAGACGCGTTGCCATTACGCCACACGGCCATACGCAGTCTAACTCTACGGATAACTACAACACCATGGACCTAGGTGTTAAAAATATCTACAAGCCTCTGCGGGCTCGGTCAGCTAGGGGAGGCTCGGCGGGAGCTGGACTATGCTTCGGTATCGCAAAATTGGTGAACGTGTGCGGGACATACTCCTAAAGCAGCTTGCTCTGAAGCTATTGCGATCCTCTGCTCGGCGATGGGTGGGTCCTCAAGGGGCTGGCGAGCAATCGCAAGAGTCAATTTTAGCACAACAATAGATAATTCACATGGGTAGTAGTCTCAGTCATCAAGGCCCTATAATCATAAATAGCTGTAAGGATAGGGGCGGAGTACATACAGTAATCGTTGAGTAGTCGACGAAACGAAGGATTATATGGTACAAGTACTCTTGGGGTAGAAAAGGTCCATTGTAGCCTTCTTCGATAGATAATCATACTTCATCAAAGGACGAACTGGAGACTGGTGTCCTGAAAAATACGGACAACTTAGTAGTGTATAGGGGTGAATGATAAAAGGGGCACACGATATGATGAGAGCTCCCTAGCTGCGGTCTCTGGCTGAACCTTGGGTGCAAGATCAACCTATTTGGCAGGACTGCGGTAAGTACAGATACTCGGCGGGATGAAGCTAACACCTCACCTGATGGATCTAAGTAATTCATGGTAGTTCTGTCTCGGGTTCTTGGCTGTGCACGTTGTCAGTTACAGCAGTCGAAAATAGGATATGAGCGGGCGCACTTAAGGCCGTGATGAACGCCTACGTATACGGATATCAGTTAGGGCGCTGCTACTGATAGACGCTAAAAATGGCGTACATAGCTCATAACGCCGACGGCCACACCTCCTGCAAAAGTGTCCGCGCTAGTTTGCCCGTCTTTACAGCCAGACCAGGATATCTAAAAGCGGCTTTTAAAATAACACGAAGCGCGGAAGAGCAGGAGATTCTGACCACATCAGCGGGCGTGGCGAGTTTCTTGCGCATGCGATCACTGACATGACTTCCCTTTAATCGTCCATGCGACGAATACTGTGTTCGCGTTTAGTATTGAAGATTCAGAGACTAAGCAGAGATGGGAAATCCGTACTATGTATGGGAGATCTATGGGGCAGATTGATGAGCGGCATATTTTTAGTATGATACAAGAAATCTACCCAATACGGTGCCAGAGTGGCAGGCCTATCATGAGACACATTAAGTGGCGCCCGAATTCAAACATTGCATCATCTACTCACGTCAAAAAGGGCCTGGAAAGAAGAGACCTTCAACAAGAGCGCCCAAAGCAAAGAGGTGAAACTCACGGTGAGACGACAACCTGCAGGCAATGGCTTAACCTGGAGTCTCTGCTTAGCTGGTGCAAGTAGGACAACGGCGTCGGAACAAACCATAATATCGTGCATCTCCTAAACGGGAAAGGACGATTGATCAGCTGAGGGCTCGGGGAAGCGAGCAGGACAGAACTAACATCATCAAGGATGTGCCCATGCTTCTTGAAGTCCATGGGATAGATGGCTGCCACGGTATCAGCGAACCACGCATGCAGCGAGAGCAGACAAGCTGCGAATACCTTCGTCCCAGCCGTCGACTTCATCTCCATTGAGATCCTTCGTCTGCCCACCATGTCCAGAGTCTGGGTCCAAGACTACTTAGTAGGGGCAATGCGATAGGAGATGTAGACCTTACAATGGAAGAAAAGGGAATCGTTGGTCTTTGCGTTGCGGACCAGCCACCGCATGGCGTCGAGGATATTCTGCCTAGTAGGCCGTTCGCGCGGGTTCCTCGCATCGTCTGAGAGGAGGACAATGTCTCCGGACCGATATCCCCACTTGCCTGAGTCGAAACGCATGAGACCCCGTTCGTTTCGCCATGGCCGTTTGAGAGCGTGCTTACTGATCAAGAAGTCACGAACATGTTGGGCGTCGTTGATACACCCACGAAGCTCATTCTGCTGTCCTTTGTAATTGATCCCAATCTATTTCGAACCGGGAATCGTTGGAACCGTCACTGAAGTCAAGGCGAGTGAGACTTACACATAAGGCTTTCTTCCGACCGGTGCACTTAGAGTACTGAAATTGCGGATTCAGCTGTTGGACCGAGTGAGTTTGCTGGACTTTGTGGTTGGAGTGCTTGTGCGATGAGACAGGTTTCGAGGGAGAAGGAGGTGGCTTTGACGATGATGGCCTGATAATTAATATCGGTGCCGGGGGTTTCGCACTGTGGTGTTTCGAATGGTGTTGTGAGTGGGAGTGGGAGTGGGAGTGGGAGTGTGCTCGTGCCCGTTCGTACGGCTGCACTTGAGGCTGAAGGGCCTGTGTATAAACAGGTGCATAGGATCCAGATGGGCGTGGATGCTGCATTGGAGGAGGATTCGATCCATAGTAGGCGGCTCGTTCATATCTACACAGGGAGAGAACGATGAGCGTAGCGCAAGAAATAGGGCAGGGGTTAGTTACTGTGGTAGCCTTTCATCGAATCGAAGCCCGCGTCAAAAACGTTGAGTAGACTCGGTGGAACGCTCTCACATATAATTCGGGGGCGTAAAGCCGGGCGTTAAATTTGGAGGATATGAAGCAGGTGCAAAGCCTCCTCCTGCTGGACCTTCGTGTCTTCTTTGGATCAAAAATCATTTGTGAGTCGAAAGCGTCTCTAGATAGCGCTTGACTCACGGTACGGGGAACCTATGGGCGCGTATGGGGGCATAAAATTAGAATTCACGACAAGCCTCCGAGCGCCCTCAAGTAAGATAGCAAAACGTACGAAGGGGTCGGCATTTGCATCCTGGGAGGATGCTGAAGATCATCTCGCCTCCCACCACTGAAGTCCCACATCATCTTGGAAGAGTTGAGCGTCGAGGGGATACGAGAACTTGATGAATATATTTTGATGGGCGCTCTGGTAAAAGTCCGGAGGGCAACCTGGAACGCGTTGACACTGATGTTCTTGTTAAAGAGCTGTTCTAACAAGGATGGATGACCAGCGGCATTCGACTTTCGGCGTTAGTAGATCGGTTCCTACCAAGACGGCATGACGGTCAATTATGGAAAAAACACCGATTTGGCGTACATCGTGACTCGAGGCACAGTTGTTTAACCGAGTCCTCCAAATACGGAAATTCGCGGTCTTTGAAGCCACCGACTTCTGAAACAGTACTCATTGTCAGAAAAACCAAGGCCTCGAAACGTGAAAAGATCTGGGGGGCTTCAGATTCTCTTGAATGAGACAGGCGAACAAAGAGGCATGGACGCGGGGAAACCATCGGGCGCACAGCCTTTGAAGCTGGCCCGACTCCGGCGGCATTGATACGGACGGAGCCATGCCGACCCCGACTGTTTGCCCGACAGCCGAAAGTTGCTATTTTTCAATGGTAGACAGGCACGAGCATGGGTCTCTCCAGGTCTCTCCCGCCTTCTGCCATATTCCCGTCGAAGAACGACAACCAGCCCATAACGAACAGGAACAGAAGTTCATGTGTCCAAGCCAGCGTCTGAACAGGATTAGAACTCGACAAGTCCAAGCCAGCGTCTGTACACTGTCAGAGACTCGGAAGCCTCGAAGGGGCGTGGACGAAGTTCGGACATCACGCGCAACTCAAGCGACATCACATGCTGGTTCAAGTTGTCGCGTAAGATCCACAGTAACCTGAAGTTGGACTATCAACACCGGATGCCAATGGCGAACCAACATCTCTTGTCAATTCTGCGGCGTCAATGGGTACGCAATCATCTCATCACATGCTGCCCATATCCGCTGACCGGCATACCTGCAGAACCGACTAGCAAACTCGCCCTACCGTAAGGCCAGAAGTGCAAACCCGCAGCTTTTGTCTATGGCTTTCCGCTTGACGAGAGTGGCTGAGCGTACTGCGGCGAAAAAAACCTCATCCTATAGCTTCCGATTTGACGGCGTTGGAGCGTTGGAGCGAAAGAGCCATCGATGATACTCTAACGATCCACCAGCTTTGCGCCGTATGCTCCAAAGCCTGGCCTTCAAACAGAGTGGAAACCTGGTGGAAACCGAATGTGGCTTTAGGCTGGGCAAAAATTACACACTCCTAGCGCTCGCAGCCTGCACTCTTCCCAGTGATGAATCTATTCCCAAAGGCGATGGCATGAGGAAATCATGGCTGAGAATGGGTTCAAGAAAGAGCCAGCCTGGTTTATTTCGACCTCGAGCCCACGAGCATGGTGTGTACATTCGTGTCGAGCTCTTTCCTGTTGCACATGACCGATATTTTCTAGGTGACTCTACACATCGTCGAATCTTAGGTGACTCTACACATCGTCGAAGCTGTTGTGCCCTTATCCGACGAAGATGGCGTGAGGTGAGTCTCCTCATTTGAAAATCGCGTCTACCCGGACGAAAGACTCACTGTCACATCCTTTCTAGTCGGGAATCGCCCGTAGAGTCAAGATCACGGAGCTTGTCGCTGGACTTACATCGGTGTTCCTCGACCGTAAACTCTACCGGCGCTTGTTAGCATGCCGTGGCCCGGTTGCACAGAACCTCTTGAATTCGTTAGGGGCATGTACCATTAGCTCCTATCGATATTACGTGGCTCATGTCTAGCGCAGCAGCTACCATACCTGATATACCAGAAATAGACCGCCTGTTCCGACGTGACCTCGTGGTCGCGGCTCCATTTCTCGTTCGTTCCACGTCAAGTATATGCTCGGTCACTTTACGTGTAGGACGGGGATCCACTGGTGGGTTTTGACTCGGAGCTAGGAGCTACAGTAGCTCTGTACCAGTGAGTTTCTTCCCTCCTCGGACATCCGTTGCTCTCAATGATTTCATAAGCTGCATAAGAAATCGCTTTCTCCGAGGTCTCAACGTTCAGGCTCAAGGGCCATGAAACAATGGTACACTATACAAACCGAAGGCGACTGTTACTGTCATCGAGAGACACATATGCACTTCTGGCTCTCCCATATCAGGTGGCGCTAAGGTCAGGTAGTCCATTGACACCCTATCGCAGTACCAGTGACAGCCCCAAAGGGC